CATATCAGTCAGGAACCCCCAGAGAGCCCTCTGGAACCCTTTGGGATACATCAGCCTCTGGGAGCAGATAATTTTAATAGACCACCGCCTCACAAAGTTCTCATTATGATACATCTCGACAGATGCTGACTGTGTCATGACAAAGGGACTGTTCACAGTCCCCTACCTCTAGATCAGTATCGTTGGTTGAGAGAGAGAGAGAGAGAGAGAGAGAGAGAGAGAGAGAGAGAGAGAGAGGATGCCTATAAGCCATGGTAAAGTCCTCCTTCCTGGTACTCCAGTCTACCCTGTTGTGGCATCAGGTGCACTGGTGGTCAGGCCAAGAAAGGCTAACTCCTCCCTTTTCACCCATCTAGGTCACATGCCAGATCAGCCATCTTGTTGGCTATTCCATCGTGGATAAGGGAGATCTTATTGTGGATAGATCTGACATTTAAATAGAAGCCAAGCCTAGTCAGGCAATCAAGCAATGTGGGATCTGACTAATATGTTGCACAGTCTTCTGTGCTTTTGCAAGAAGATGTTGCATCTTACAGCTTCCATCTTGGATTGGCCCTGGAGGCAACATGCTCTTGATTCATCTGCTGAAGGCTCTAAGAGCACTGTAACACCATGGCCTTCCCCTTTTCTCTATGGCAACTCTTTCTAAACAGCAAAATTATCATCTGAGTAATTTCAGCATCATTCCTAAATATATGCCAGCACATTTGGGTAAATTGGACCTCAGAGTGGACTCACAAGCAGTTGTGATCGGCCAGACTTTGAAGAACTGAAACAACAGTAGTGTAGAATTTAGGGTTTCCATCTTCTGATTGCAAAAATATGTTGCTTAATCAGAGGCAGCCCTATTCGGCTTGGAGAAAAATTGATACTTGAATGCTTGCCTGCAGTGTGTGCAGACAGTTTTTTATGAGCATGCAACCAAACAATTGATTTGAAGTTGTTTGGTTTGAAGACAGTTAAAATAGCCTCAGTTACCTGGCATCTTTATGGCTTAGTTGTGTTTTAGTACCTCCTTAGCCCCAACCTGTAATGGCTGCAGTTCATCTCTTCCATGTAACAGGCAAACTTCTCTTCCAACTTTCTTTTTAAATGCTTTCACCCTCGTGCCTCTTTTAGCACTTTCCTTTATGATAATGGCAACATTCACACAAGATAATTATATATTCTAATTTAGCACAGGGGGCTCTGTTCCCATCTTAGTAACACCAGTCTGGAAAAGCTTTGCTCTTAGCTATGGCCTTCTCCTTTAGTGTTGTACCCAGGGAGAATTCTACTTAACTTGGTCTGCTTCTGGAAGAACTCTCACCCCCTCCCTTGTCTCAGCCCCTGGCCTTCTCTTTACTTTTACATTGCGGGACAGTGATAACCCCTTTCATGTTTCTCTGCTGCTTGTGATTCTCCTCTGTGGGTGAATTACAATGGGACCTTTAGGGCAACCTTCCCCAAGAAATTACTGATTATGATGGCTGTCCCACATAAAGAGCCTAATTACACCCTTGGGGCATGGTCCTTTATTCTATTTCTCCTCTCATTTTTGTTTTTCTAGCAGTTCTTACCTAAGGAAACTGGAACAAGCTGCTCCGTTTCCTTCCTACCACAAAGTCTTCCCATGTTCCCTGGTGTAGCCTTCTCAGTGTGTGATTATGTGTAGTGCATTGTGTTTAATCAGGGTTTTTCTTTCTTAATTTAATGATGAACACTTCCCTCTTGCAACTGTGTGCCCATCTCTTAGGCATCATGTAGTCACAGAAAATTATAAGACATCTTTCTTACCTTCCTGCAAGAAAGCAGCATCCAACTAAAGAAATTTTATGACATCTTTCACTCAGTTACCGTTTCCTACATTTCAAATATATGGCAGTCTGCACAGCAGCTTGTCCCCCTTTTAATCTTGCTGCAAATCTTCCTTTCTCACAGCAGACTTTGACTGCTAAATGCCTTGAATTCTGGGCCAGTTTTAATTAGGATTTTTTCTAAATCTATTAGCAAAGGAAAGGCACTTAATACATTATGTCAAACAATGCTGGCTTTTTCTTTAGTTCTTTCCAGGACTGCTGTGGGCATGGCTTGAAATTTACTAGGAATATTTTCACATGGAAGTTTTGTCTTATTTTGTGTTAATTTAAAATTGTCTGTTTCCCTTCATCAACACATCGGCTTAAGGTTAATGTATGAATGTAAGATTCCTCTTGCCGTATAGTTTAGCCATCAGGATTGTAAGCCTAATTGCTGAGACAGGGCTGCTCACAGTGTGGTTGCCTGGGAGCTGTAGGCTCTGTTTTCATTCGTGGCTTTATTCTGAGGTTCGCTTGGGTGTAGAATAACGCCTTGTGCCTTTGTACTGTGGTAATTTCCTTTACAGAAATTGGACAAGATTCTTAAAGCTGACATAACATGGTGAAAGATTTTCCTCATTTCACTGTGTAACTCCCAAATCTGGCTTAGTTTTAACAAGCCTTTTCCCAAAATGAGATTTGTGTGCTATCAGGTCCAAGTCTATTTTAAATACAAAGAAAGTGGAGAGAGAAAAAGAGGTCTTGAAGTTGCCCATCAGCATTTAGCACCTGGAAAGTGTGCTGAGAAGGGTGCTTATGGGCTTCTTCTCCATTTATTTAGATATTATGTTTCTATTCCATCCCCAAGGCCAAAATCCTCTTCTCCATTTGACCCTCACAAAATCCTGTGAGGTAGGTTAGCCTAATAGTCAGTGACTGGCCCAATATCATCTATTTCTGTTTTAATTACAGCAATTATTTCTACTTGCACAAATGCAAATAATCATGTGGCAGATCTGGGTGGTCTTACTTGGTGATGCATTCCTTCTTCAACTTAATTAAAGTTGCTTGTAGTACTGTTCCTCCAAGATGAAGATCCAGTCACAGAGGCAACTTAAGATCTGGTTTAGAGAAACTTTGCCCACACAGGCAGGACTGCAGATGTTCATTTGTGAGAGTGGCTTATAATTGGCAGTGGGTGTTAGTCATGCCATGGAAACCCACAATATGTGTGTCAAGTTGGCTTAACTGGGGGTTGTAAGCCACCTTGACAACCCATGGCGTATTTTAGGGTTTGTCTGATATACAATAGGTTGTCAGGTACAAACCCAGATAACACAACCCTTGGGGGTTAAGATAAACCATTAGTGAGTTGCTTGGTAAGAATGTCAAAAAAGACCCCAAACTTGCTTCTCTTACCAAGTAGCTAGCAGAAGGTTACCACTATCAGCCATCCCCTAATGCTGAGCAGTGCTTGGGGCTGATTGGCAAAGACTTCCCACCTACTTCCTGCTACATGCTTTCTATATACCAGCATATTTTCCTGCCCAAGAAGACATTTTTGACCTCTTAGAAATCCCATCATAAAAATTGAAGCTCCTTCTGAACAGATCAGCTGATCTGTGAAAGAGTAATTACTTATGTAAAGGAATAGTTTGCATGTTACTGATATGGGAATGCTTTAAAAACTTAGTGGACTCTTAAGTTTCTTCTCCAAAAACCTGGGGATCCTTCTGGGAAGGGGTTGATCTACCCCAGTTTTACTAGCAAGGTCCACTCCAGGCTTTGGAAGCATTTGACAGGTTGGCTTTTGACAGCTGTCAAATGCTTGCAAAGGGGGAGATGTTAATATCTGTATACCCAGTGGAGCAGTGGACAGGGTAAACACCTGCTGAACTTGGCCAACAGGCCTCTACCTTGCCCATTACCAAGTTCAGGCTCTTCATTGATGTTCCTGCATAATGTCAGTTTTCTGAAGTTGCAAAAGGACAGCAATAAAGATAGTATTATTTTTTCCTGGAATTATTTCTGAAAATTAAGGGGAGTGGGATTTTTAAAAGCAGGCAACAAAAATAGGTTCTCCTGGGGCACTTTGGAGCTTATACCTGTCAAAAGAAGGACTGAGAAGCAGGTTTTGTAATTTGACAGATATCTGCAGGAGCCCTGAGGGAGAAGGAGGGTCAGTAACCCACAGTGCACCCTATCATCCCTCAGGCACATCATGTGTCCTCAGGTGATTGACTTGCCCTGCACGATTAGTGCCACAATGAGGGCTGTTCTGTGGTCTAACCCTCCCGCACCCCAGTGATGAGGAGGGAGTGGGGTTTGAAGGGAGAGAGGTTTTGTGTGGGGATCTGTGATTGGAAATGTCTGAAGCTCTCACAGAACAACATCTACCCAATTCTATTTCAAACAACCACCCGTCCAACATTCTATATATGTATGAATAGGGTTGGTTCTACACACATCATTAAAACAGATTATTAAACAGACTGTGTGTGGCCTGAATCATTAAAAAGCACTGGTTTCTTTCCTTCTTCCATTCAAGAGGCCATCTTGGCTATCTTGGATGGGATGTGTAATTGCATAGCTTTTAAGCTACTTGTAGGCTGCTCGGCCTAAAGAGTCACTGAAATTCCTTAGTGTACTAGTGTGTTGACTTCGTGAGACTGTGGGAGCCTGCTTCTTTCTGCTCGTGTGACTACAGGCCAAGGGAGCCGTACAACATCAGCTCAAGACATTTTGAAAACCTGAAATGGGTTACAGTGCATCTCCTATGAACTTTAATTCAGTACTGCCACCAAAATCATTTTGAAAAATACACTATCATTCAATTATACATTCCATCAATTGCCATAAAACTTTGCTTTCCCTCCTCCCTGCTAGCTTTTCTCCTCCTCCTTGCCATTCTTAACCTTTTCTTAAAGGCATCTTCAGTCACTATTATTTGCTATTCTAGTATGTCATAGAGTTTATAGGAACCTGTCGTGCTTTGCTCTCACTAGAGATGATTAAAAATAACTCTTTGTGATGTATTAGGTCAATGTTAATGTGTATAACACTAATAAAGAGGTAGCTAGGGCCAGTAAAAATGTAAAATTGATCATAGGCTCTAGCATAGGAATGGAAGTCGGAATAAAAGCTGTGACCAGGAAATAAGAATAATAAGGTGCTTTCCCCCCTTCCCTATTCTGTCCCCACTCCTCTCTCTCTTTCATTTAGGTGAGAGACCATTCCAGTGCAGATATTGTCCATACAGTGCCTCTCAGAAAGGGAACCTAAAAACACACGTCCAGTGTGTACACCGGGTACCTTTTGACAACAGCCAGTACCCTGATCGGCGTTTCCAACAGACTCCACATAATTATTCCAACAACCCCATGGAAGAACAGCTGGGAAACATCCTTGCAATCCATCCAGTCCCTGGAGCAACTGTGTTATAGCAAGATCTGTGTTCTGTGCTTTGCTAGAACAGTGATGCCTCTGAACTGTTAATCATTTTAAAATAAATGAAGAAGCTACACAAGATATATACAAATTGACATACTAATCAGTCCCCACGGTTCCTTATTTCCTTTATAATAAACAGTGGAGTTGGCAAGCTTTGTGGTGGTGCAAGGCATCTATATTAATCAAGATAACTTTTTTAGACACTGGAAAAAATTAAACTTTATATGATTTGGAGGGCGGCACTGCAAGAAAATCCTCCCTCGTGGTTGTTTTGATATGTTTTATTTTTATTCTTTTTAAACCAGGGCGGTTTTGGGAATGTGGGAAGGAGTGATTAATGAAGCTGTCATGCTGGAAAAAACCAACTCCTTAAAAAAGAGAAAGGAAAAGAAAAGCAAGGAAAAGAAAAGCAAAAGCAAAATGGAGGAGCCATTCAGTGCTGTGAAAGCCAAGCCTGATGAAGGATGAAAGGGACTGAAGGGAGAAGCAAGCCATCAGTCTGCAGTGAAGTTGTTTCATGGTAGTTTGGGGACCACTTGTATTTCCAGTGGACTTATCCTTGACTGCACACCATTAATAGTACGTGAATATGGAAATTGAAACACTCTTAAGAAATGCTTCTCTTCTCACTATGGAAAGAACCGAAAACAGCTAGTCAAACACTAAGAAGAAAACAGGCGTGTGTTCTTTTTTTTAAAACTCTCAGGGCCTTTCTATTTGTTTGTTTATTCTGCTTTTTCTTTCTTTAACACTGCTGTGTCCTGTGACCTGATCACTAAGGAAATGTGCATGCTTTTAAAAAAAAATTAAAAGGAGGAAAAATACTCAATTCAGCTGTTTAAAGCTGTTGATTTGTATGCTTTTACTATTAGAAAAAGAGGTGTTCCAGCAGATGTAGGCCTTTAGGGTACAGGATGTGCCTGTATTTTTGTGCATTTACCCTTTCTGGGCCCTGGTGACAATTTGAAAAAAGACGAATTCCTTCTTTGTGGTGGCAGGTCAGTGTTCATCTAACATGTTATGTCTTGTACTTGGTTGGGAATCACTGGGGTAAGGGGCAGAGAATGACACCTTTATATACCTCTTCTACAGTAACTCTTTTAAATGCAAGTTTTCAAGGTAGGGGGTGAGAGCGGCAGGTTGTTAACCATGCAGTGTCTGCAATTTATTAAAAATGTATTCCACAGGTAAAATATTTTCTTTTCCTTTATTGCTGTGACACTGTGTGTGATGGTAATAATTCAGAGTTTCAGTTTTTGCACACATAAGTTTATGCATCATCAGCATAAAAATATGCTGCCTTGAAAAAATATTCTGTGAATTTCTTTTGCAAAGACGAAGGAGAGGGAGGAGGAGGAGGAGAAGCTTTATTAGTTTTTTTATTGTAACATTTTTGTAAAGGCAGGAAATTGATTTTTTTTAAAAAAACGAGCATGCTAATTATATTTTTCAACAAAGCAATAATTTTACATGTACAGAAATGGCGCTAACCTTTTAATACTAATCGAGAGCAACCGTTTACTTTCTACAATAATCGGATAGTGCTGTTTTTGTAGTAAATGGGCTTCTTATACGAGCATTTTTAATATGTAATTTGTTTCTGTTCTAATGTTGTTTTGTCTGTATTTGACTTGGGATACTATTTGTTTCAAATGACTTGACTGTTCTTGCTTTGCAGTTGTTGACAATAATGTTGTAACTTTAATATGTAATTTGCTGGTTTGGGATTTTCATTTATTCCACATAGTTACACACCAGCTGTATGCCAACTATAATCCTGGTGTAGCTAAGAATGTCTGTGCAAATGCCTATATAAGTGATTGTAATCAGCTTTCTTTTGAAGTTATCTTGCAGAAATTCACATAGACACATTCCACGCTCCTTCCTCTTTCCTTGTCTCCCACTCCAACCTCATCTCTCAGCCCTCCAATCTCTTTTTCTGTATTAAATAACAGTTGATCAATTTGGGATTCACACTCAAGTGCTAATTTACTTTATTGAGCACTTATGGTATTTCTTTGAACTAAACAGGTGACGATTTGGAATGCACAAAGATAACTTATTTGCCTGTTTATGGTTTGCAGTTATTAAAATTCCTTCTGTCCCATCCCCCTGTTCCCCGGAAGTTATGTAAGTGTCATGCACAACTATAATGTTTATTTGTTGGTTGATTTGTGTGTGAGCGTCTTTCTTTCTTTCTTTCTTTCTTTCTTTCTTTCTTTCTTTCTTTCTTTCTATTTTAATTTTGGGAATGAAGGGTTTTTGTTTTTGTTTCTGTTTTGGTAACTGATATGGAAGGATCTTAGTTAATATTTAGAGTTTAAAAACTCTTCCTGAAGACAGCTTATTTCATGACTGTCTGACAGAGAGAGAATGTGGGGGGAAAAGAGAGAGGGGAAAGTGCTGTCACTGCCATTACCAGGGTACTAATCAGCAAAGTTTACAATCATAATTTAGCTACATGAAGAACAACAGCAGGGGAAATCAGTTTAAATAATTATATGCTGTGTATAGCACAGAAATGAGATTTTCACTTAATTAAACAAGAAATGGGAAGGGAGGGGGGAGCTGTTACTGAAGACCAGCCATTTTCACGTGTGAATCCCAAGCACTGTAATCTCCTTTATCATCCAAATTGTATCGATTTGTTAATTCAGTTAGACCCTAGTACTTAGTATGATTTGTGTTCTTATTTATTTAGCTCTTTGGGTTTCAAATAGCCTTTAAAAATAAGAAAGAAACTTGATAATTTTGTAGCATGACACACTTTGTAAGCCATCTTCTGACTGTTACAGAGATTCTGCTACCTCTATCGATTTGTTTCTTTTCCTTAACAGGTTTTCTACAGTGTTGCAGTCTAATGTACCTTAGACAATAAAGGGTTCAATTATGAGCACTGCAGATGGTGTATCAGACATCCCTTTCTCTATTTCTCCTTTCGTTTTCCTTCCATGTTTTACTCTCTATAAAAAAGTGAGCTTCCTGTCCATTACAGCTTCCCCACCCTGACTTTAAAATTTTGAGCAGTGACCAATACCCATATCTTGGAGTAATGGCATCTTTCAGAACTACTAGGTTTGTTTTCTTCTTTATATTCAGGCAATTTCCATTGCAAATCAATGGCTACATTCTTAAATTCTTGAAAGGGAGGGAGGGAGGGAGGGAGGGAGGAAGGAAAGACAGACAGACAGACAGACAGACAGACAGACAGACAGACAGACAGACAATTTATGGGATTAGCTTTAAGATTTAAAACCACTCCTGAAGCTTTTTTTATGTTGAGGGGAGAAGACATGTGCTGTGTCAGAACAGCCAGATGCAAGACTGAGATGTAGAAAAGGGGTGCTTTGAGAATTGTTCCATATAGTGTATATAGCTCACACTATCATGAGTCACGAGTATGGTATATCAAGAAAAGAAGAATGGTCAAAATTCCTTTCCCAGGGGTGGTGAAGTCATTCAGAAATAGCTTTGTAAAAGAAAGTAGGTAGCTGAATCAAGCTACCTAAGCCACTTGCTACAACTGTCCAATTATACAGTGGAACTATACTAGTACTAACTATACTAGTAAATGCTAATAAACACTCTAAGCAAATTTTAGTTAGTTTTGACAAATTAATGAATGTTTATGTGGTTGAATTTTAATGAGACAGATAGTACTCAAGTAAACAGAACTTTGCTGCCCAATCACCCCCAAATGAGTATAATCAGTTGCAAGTGGAAAATAATTCAACTTTTTAAAGTGATGCATGAACAACACTCAGTTGGCGAACATGATTAAGCAACAGTTTACATAATTCTCTGACTTCTTGCTCCTCTGGTGAAAATATTTTTTTATTAATGAAAACAATATAAAAGGTGTTCAGTGCCATGTTTTGTTGTAGACCAATATTACAATTTCTGCCATACTATTTGTTTTGCCATAAGTGATGTTCTAACAGTGCAAAGCTCAACCGTTTTTGGTAAGTGCAGTCCAATGTGGCTTAAATAACCCATGTGTCATGCAAACCAGGTCACTGGGTCATTGTTGCTAATGGAAAGGAAACTTCAAGGAAAAATGGAAATCCTACATCTGTTAATGCATAACCTTCTAAAAAAGGAGAAGAACTCACTAACATAAACTCCCCACTTAATGCTTTCTAGATATTTGGGCCTGCACTCCTCACCATTGTTCCTGGGGTATGATGGGAATTGTGGACCATCCCATCAGAAGGGTGTTCAGGAAAAGTGCCCTAGATCTTTTATAAGAATTCCTGCTTGCATGTGTATGTATAAGTGAACTGCTTGCCCAGTCAAGGTTTAATTATTACTCTTTAAATGGATTTTTGAAAAAGCAATACAAAGAACATAAAATGCAATATATTAACCCAAAACATTATATTCTCTCCTCCCAGTCATGCATAGAAGTGAGCCATATATCTAGAAATAGTTGGAGACAAGACTTGGTATCTCCCTTCGACTGGAAACAGTCTTATGTCCACTTTGTCTGTTCACTGTATACAACACCTGGCATGTTTTCTTGGACGAGTGCTTTGCCAACAAAACTGTACAGATGGGCAAATCAAAATGAAGTGGCCCAAGAGTTCAAATGTACAGCAACCTGTGGAAAATCAACATTGACCATGGAAATAGCAGTAAGCAAATTGATTGGGATGGTGATAAGAGGAGTGATGGGTGGCCCAAATGAAGACAGAAATAAAGTTTGGAAATGTTACAAAAGGGGCTATTAAAACAGTTGTTCATCTCTTTTAAGTATGTGCTATTTGCCCTTATATTGGCTCTTGTTCCATTGACTGCCATGTCTTCTGAACTTACCACCATTTATAGTCTATGGCAGCTTCATATTACAGAACATGCAGGTGACAAAGCACTTCCTTGCGAAGTGTCTTGAAAACGATGTTCTCACATTAAACTAAGTGACCTGGTTTTGTCTACCAACAGAATGTTTAGTATTATTTCTTTTCTCAGCAGATGCTTCACTAGGGTAGCCCTTTGAGTGCTTGTACAGATAGCAATCTCCAATACATGGTTTGTATGCTTCAACATTGTGCCTTGGTTGACAGTGAATGGGTGATGGTGCCATAAACCTTCGTGAACACACATTTATTATTTAATATATAATAAATGCATGATATTTCTTCATGCATGGCAGTTTGAAATATTTCTCTACCAGAAATTATATATAGTAGTAACAAACAAAAGCCAGCTTTATGCTTTTCCATGGAAGACTATTCTACCCAACAGGTGACTGCACCTAGCTTCAAAGAGTTATCACTGTTCAAGAAATTAGAAGACTTAAGAAGAAAATCTAGCTGGTTCCCTTGATTTGTTACTGTAAGATAAGCTCATGCTCTGTCATCTGTTATCTTCATCATTATGAGTGCAATGCCATGAAAAGTCCTCAAGGGAGGACAGTTACTCTGAGAAGTGGAAAATGATTTATCAGTTTTATGACTACCCTGTTTTCTTCCATGGTCTAGATTACAGGATACATAAGAAAACACACTCCACTCTCTGTGTTGAGGTTTGTAATCTGGGATGGCTCTGGTCCACATCACAGTTAGGCCACGGAAGCCAGAAACTAAATCATCGGCCAAAAAATTACAAATGCTGAATAAATACTGAGCTTTACAGAATTTGATACACAGGGGAAAGGGTGGATTAAAAGACATTATGGAAAAAATCTTGGATACTGGTGAGGAGCACCCCAAACTGCTTGCAGAAACACGAGGATCGGTGGGTTGGGTCTCTTTCTCATAATCTTTCTAAATCAAGTACTGACAATTTGGCACTTCCATATCCCTACAAATCCTACTTTCAGGTAGTAGGGGTGACAGGAAATATGGGAGTTTCTGTTCAAAACAGGTAAGTATTGTGGGTTCTCATGTATAAAAGTCTTATTCTAGCCTAGGGCCGACTGAAGAATTTGGAATGGATTCCAAAGAATCTAGATTTTGCAATATCTTACCTGTAAATTCTGCAGTAGGACAGCTCTTCTAAGACATGAACTCACAGACTGTTTTTTCAAGTGTGTGTTGTGGGGTGTATTTGATCTAATTAACATGTATGCATTAGCGCTATTGTACACTTCTGAAAATGCACTGATTTGCACTAGTGTGCTTTCTGGTTAAAAACACTGATCCTGACAATGAGCAGATGACAGAACAAAATCTACATCAGTATGCTAAGACTTGTACTGCCTTACAAGAATCATTGCTCCCTTTTTCACAGCCGTGTCCTTTACTGTTCCTAATAGCATACTCTTCCTTCTAAGTTTATATTCACACTTATTTCTAAGCAGCTATTAACAAGATTGAAAACTGTATTGCACATAGCGGGACAAAAACATAGGTGGCTGTGTTGGTCAGAAGAAAAACCCCAAACTTTATATAACTCTATTAGGTCAACTCATAGGTTATAAAATTAGTCCACAAACAGCTTCTCCAGCACTCTTCAGGCTAGATGGTAACCAATTCACCAAAGTGATGTTGAAGTGATGCAGTCTGCATTTAGTCAGTTTTAAAATGGAAGGAGGTTGTGGTCATTTGGATTAAATTCTACCAGGTGCATTCCTAGATGGTCCCTAAGACTGCTAGGATGAAGCCTCAAGCAGAGACAGTGGTTGATCCCACATGTTTTAAATATATATTCCAGAGGTGGTGTAGAACTGTCTCCTGCTTGAATTCTTTCAGGTGGGTTAGTCCATATGTGATGGATCTTCTACATGTGTGTGCAGGAAAGAATTCCATTTTGCTATTTAGTCTTTAGAACATTTGACCATGTTGTTCAGGTTGTGAATGATGATATTACTGCATGGCGTGTAGTAATGCCATGAGGAAACATCTGAGGCGATACTGCCTGTTGGGAAGAGGAATTCCAGCGCTTATCATTTGCTACTGGGTTTTGCTGCTAGTGCTACCTGTGGCAGGCTAGCTCTAAATAATAATCAAATGAAGTATTGAGTTCCTCATGATCCACAGATAGTTCTCATGTAGCCTACATATTTGTATTTTAAATTTGCTTCAATTTTTGGCATCATATGTGTGTGCATGCATGATAGGAACATGTTAAAGTTTGGAAGAATCAACACACATATAATTAACATTTTCTTAAATTCTTTTCTTGAGTTACCATTAAGTTCCTTTAAACAACTTCAGTGCTTACAGTGAATAGATCTAAAACCATACTTCTACTTTGACAAAGTGCCGCATGATGTCCTGGTTGAGAAACTGAGAAGTTTTGGGATAGACCAAAGCACTGTCTGATGGATTAGGGCTTGGTTGATGGACCAAAAGCAGAGGATAAGTATTAGTGGGATGGCAGCCAGTGATGAGCGGGGTCCCCTAGGACTCTGATCTGGAACCAGTCCTGTTCAATCCTTTCATCAATGACCTGGAAGAGGGAGTGACTTGTCTGCTGATCAGATTTGCAGGTGATACTAAAATGGGGGTGGTGGCCACAACTGAGGAGCAGATAATCCAGATTCAGAAGGATCTGGACAGACTATGGAAGTGGGTTGGGCCAACAAGATGGTGTTCAATGCGGATAAGTGCAAGGTCTTGCACCTGAGGCATAGGAATGGGTGTCATAAGTACAGGTTAGGGGACAAGTGGCTGAAGAGCAGCACTTGTGAAAGGGATCTTGGGTACTGGTCAACTGCAGGCAAAACGTGTCATCAGTGCAACACAGCAGTCAAGATATAGCCATGTTGAAATCAGTGCAGCCACAATGTGGTGGCCATATTATGTGGAAAGCTGCATGTGGTGAGACTGAGCGAACTGGGTCTTTTCAGCCTGGAGAAGAGGAGACTCTGACCGAATCTGTTGACAGCATATAGGTACTTGAGGAAGTTTTACATGGAGGTGGGTGGAGACCTGTTTTCCCCTGCGGAGGATGGCAGA